CCCTTCCTCAGAACTGGGGAAGGGTTCTGAGGAAGGGTCACCGGACCCGAAACGTTAACTCTGTTTTCTCCTTCACAGATGCTGCCAGACCTGCTGAACTTTTCCAGTAACTTTGTTTTTGTTCCTGATTTACAGCACCCGCAGTTCTTTTGGTTTTTATATGGTGAAAAAAGTCGTGGAGTTTTAAGTCCGTACGTTGCGCCCACAATGGCTTTATGCTGAAGGATCTAACATCTTTGATATTACTTCAGCACCTGTCTTCTGACAAGGCTGACCACACTCCAGGTCGCGAAGTTGTCTTTCTGCCAAATGAAAAGATTCTTGAGATTGAGTCAGATTCTCAAGGCCTTAGGGTCGGTGCTCACGCTAACCCAACGTCAATCAAATAAATATCATGCGATAAGTACTACTTATTCCAACACCGACTCTAGTTAACCTGAAGGGCTTTCCTTCTCAACCTTCTTGTGCACCCGCTTAACATGTCCATTTCTCAGGGTGCTCACAGCGCATCTTCCTCAGTTTCTATTCCAGCCTAGTTTTGTATCATCAGTCAATTTGGGAACATTGCACTCGATCTCCTCATCTATGTAGTTGACACAGATTTGTAAATAGCCAAGGGCCAAGCTCTGATCCTTGCAGTACTTCTCCAAAATAGCCTGTCTAACCAAAAAAAAATGACCTGTATATTCCTAGGCCCTTTTTTCTCTTTGTTCATATATCTTCAATCAATACTAATGTTACCTCAAATCCACAAATTCTAATTTTGTACAATAAACTTTTCTGTGACAACTTACCTAATTCTTTTTGATTTTTTTCTAATTACATCCAATCATTCCGTCTCATCTACCTTATAGTTACGACATCAAAAATTCCGATTTATCAAACATGATTTATGCATCATAATTCAGTGTCAGCTCTGTCTACACGTTAAGTTTTTTTAAGTTACCATATACCTAATAGCCTCTAGCATTTTTATGATCCATGTCAGGCTTTCTGACCTTTATATCTCCGAAACACACAAAAACAGAACGTGCTGTAGAAATTCAGCAGGTCTGGCAGCGGAGAGAGAAACAGAGTTAGCGTTTTGAAGTTCTGAAGAAGGATTACCGGGCTCGAAACGTTAACCCCATTTTCTCTCCACAGATGCTGCCAGTTTATCCAGCAATTTGTCTTTTTTATTTGTCTCAGAAAAGATTTCACTAGTTCCGAAATTCTGACCGACGGGAACACGACGACCTGTTAGGTAGCCCTCTGAGCCACTCACCATCCTGGGTTGGAAATTTATCGTCATTCTTTCGTTGTCATTAGGTCAAAATCCTGGGACTACCCCCATCATCCTCCCCAAAAGCACTATGGGTGTGTCCCTACACTAAATGGACTGCCGGGCATCAATAAGGCAGCTCACACTATCTTTGCTGGGGCAAGTACAAATGGGGCAGTAAATGCGGGCCTAACGACCATGAATGAATTAGCACACATACTGTCTTTATTGCACAAAATTCCTGGATGTGCTTTTGTCTCTGTATTTTGGAGACTGCAACTTTATCGTTTACCATTAGAACCACCGGCTTAGCGGCTGGAGAATTGAAATTCTGGTTCTGTCAGTTTTATAAGTTTTTGTTTTCTGGTGCCGAATTCTCCGAATGGATCATGAAATCTCATAAATGCGTCCAGAAAGTTTAACAGGTACAATGAAGGCAGGCGATGCGTTAATCAATCGAGCAGTGGTGAATGCAGTCCTATACATCGCCACCCATTCCTCCCTGAATAGAACTTATCGGGAACAAACTAATGAATAAATCGAATGCGGTTAATATGAGAGGTTAATACACATTTCCAATTAACGTTTATAACAATTCACTGTGAAACTTGTCATGTGGCTCGCTGTTTTGATACAGTATAAATATCACAAGGGCAGGATTGTAAGTAAAAACAGAAAGAATTGCGGATGCTGGAAATGAGAAACAAACATCGCTGGAAACGCTCAGCAGGTCTGGAGAGAAATCAGAGTTAACTTTTAGGGTCCGGTGACTCTTCCTCAGAACTGTAACAGAATTGTAAGTAAGTTCATTCTGTAAGTGAATTCTGTTTGATATGTTCTCAGGCGCGTTACTATAAATAAAACTGGAAAGTAACGCGCGAGTTTTGTCAAGTATGAGCTATTTCTTTGCTTGACCATAAATTTGGTGCTCCTATTCGGGAATAGCCCGAATTACCTGGATGATATTCGGATGCTGGAGCTTCTGGAGTAGAGTCATTTCCTTGATGATTTTATAAGCTGCCAGTCTGAAGCATTCTCTGGCCTGTCCATACCGCTGGATACAGCGCTTCACTTCATCACCCTGACTGTTCACAGTTTTCACAGCGACAGCAGTGCCGTCCTGCAGCGTCCCTTTCAGAACGGTCTTAGTATAACCAGAGCCCAGAAATTCAATTCCCGTGATATTCCTGAAGTCACTGCAGCCCGCAGTCCCCCTGGAGAGATTCCCAACAGCTCTCCGCAATTTCTCATTGAAGACATCGCCGCCAGCCCGAGCTCTTCCCAGTGAGGATTCCCGAAAGTGGGAGGAGGGATCGGAGAGAAACACCAGCCGAGCTCGGTGAACATCTTGATAACGAATGATTTCATCCACCCTGTCTTCGAGCGCGTCCACCAGTTCCCGCTGGCGAGAGATAAAAAGCAGCTCTTGCTCGTTAGAAACCGCTGCACCGTTTCTCCAGCGAGAGCTACCGGGTGCTTTCAGGATCAGCAGCGTTAGAACAAGAAGGAGAACTGCAGAAAGATACACGGCGTAAAGCTTCCCCATTCTGGATGTCCCTTGTACCGGGTCCGCTGCCGAAATGTATCCGCTTGTTAGCGCCTGTCACAGAAACCCCCAGCTGTTGGAAGTTCCATGCAGGGAACAAGCTATTTCCAACAACACGCCGGAGGTGTGTCTCTCTCTCTCTGTCTCTGCTCCTCCCATCCAACAGCGCAGGCACGTTCTGTCCAGTGAGCAGCCCTATTCTCATCTCTGGCAGGTTTCACTTCTTATGATATCATGGTTAGGCTATTGAGGGAATGGTTGCTGTGGATATTTAATATGCCATTTCGAATCCTTAATTCTTTTACTCTTGTAACTGCATGTGTAGATGGTGTTGTGCTTCACTGAAAATTATGGTTAAAATCGCCCTACCTCTTTTCCCTTTTCACCAATTATAAACCTTCTCAAAACCAATCTTTCTATCCAAACCTTTGGTCACATATCATTGCCTCTTTTCCACGTGGCTCCACACTCCTCCCTTTTATCCAGCGGTTATGCTGAAAGGCACGAAAGGCTTAAATGGAGAAACTGGTTTCGAATAGTTGAAAAACATAAGATCAAAAATAGGAGCAGAAGCAGCTCCTGCAGGCAGATTCGTAGAGTCTGCTTTAAGTCTTTTTTTTTAACAATGTGCTTATGGTAAATGGGTGTTACTGGTAAAGATATTATTGCCCATCCCTAAAGGTAGAGTAGAATAGTGGTAATGTTACTGAACTGGACTGATCAAATACCTGGACTGTTGATGGAGAGACACAAGCCCATAAGTATTAGGAGCAGTAGAAGGCCATTCAGCCCCTCGACCATGCCCTGCTATTCAAAAGAATAATGGCCGATCCCATATTTCTCACATCCACTTTCTTGTGTTCTCCCTGTAACCCTTGATTCTCCTCCAGATCCAGACTCTATCTCAGCCTTAGGCCTCTGTGTTACAGCTCTCTGTGGCAAGGAGCTCCAAAGATTCATAACACTCTGAGAGAAGAAATTTCTTTGTATCTCAGTCTTAAACAGACACTACTTTATTCTGAGAATATGCCATTCATGACATTTTGGGGTTTAAATTCAAGTAATTAAATGATTATGAAACAAAAGCCTTATAATAGTAATGATACCATGAAAATACTGGGTTGTTATACAAACAAGTATTATCCCTACCGACACGTGAAAAAAATCATCTGATTTATTAATGATCTGTAGGGAAGGAAATCTGTTGTCCTTACCCATTCTGATCTATATGTAATTCCAGATGCCAAACACAAACATGGTTGACACTTACTTGCTCTCTGAAATTGCTAAACAAGTGATTCAGTTGTATTCAAAGCATGCCATCTTCTGCTCAAGAGAAAGTAGGGATGGGTGGCAAACGTTGGTTAACCTGGAAATGCCCTCATCTAACAACTGAATTAGAAAAACATTGGCTTGACAATGTACTGGTGAGCTCTCTTCTCTAATTGTTGCAGTTTGTGTGGCATAGATGCAGCGAATATGCTGTTGAATGGGGAGTCTCCATCTTAGGCAGTACCATGAGACTGAGCAGCACTTTCTTCCACTCCAGTGTTGTGGTTCCTGATATGATTGAACAATGTAATATTTGATCTGCACACTCTGCCACAGGTGGGCAGGTGGTATTTGTTGAAGTGATTGGGTATGTGGAACTTTTGCACATTCCTTCCTCTAGTCTTGGCCTCCACCTGGCCCTGTCAGTGATGCTCAAAATGATCAGCTCCTTTGAGGATGGTTCTTCTCCAATTGAGGCACTCTTGGGCTAGAGATTCCCATGTGTTGGTGGGGATAATACGTCTTTTTCAGAAAAACTTGGACATTGTGGAAGTATTTCCTTGCCCTCATGATAACCACTTTCTTTGATAACGTTCAGAGTTAGAGAGCTTGTGTCAGGCATGTGGATGATGTAGTCTGCCCAATACAGCTGTCTGCTTGTAAGTAGTCCCTTGATGGAGTGTTCCATGATTTTTGTGATTTTCCATGTGAAGAGAGTGCATGTAACATGGAGTAAATTGTAGGTGTTGGCTCCCCCCTAGTTCTTCTAGGTGATAGAAGTTGGGTGTTTAGTTAGTGTGATCAAAGAAACTTTGAAAGTTTGCTGCATTGCATCTTGAAGATGGAATATTACAGATGTGTCACATCAGTGGTGAAGGAAGTAAATGTTTAATATTATGGATTAGTGACAATTAAGCAGCTGCTTTATTCTTGATGGTGTCTAGCTTGTTGAGTGAGGGTCCTGACTCCACTTATAGAGTCATAGAGTCAAATAGCATGGAAACAGACCCTTCGGTCCAACCAGTTCATGCCAACCATAATCCCAAATTAAACTAGTCCCACCTGCCTGTGCTTGGCCCATATCCCTCCCAGCATTTCTTATTCGTGTACTTGTCTAAACATCTTTTAAACATTGTAACTGTACTCGCATGCATCACTTCCTCTGGAATTTCATTCCACACACAAATCACTCTCTGTGTAAAAAATTGCCCTTGTATCTTTTTAAAATCTTTCACCTCTCTCCTTAAAAATATGCACCCTGGTCTTGAAATCCTCCAACCTGGGGAAAAGATATGTACCATTCACCATATCTAAACCACTCATGATTTTATATACCTCTACAAGGTCACCTGTCAACCTCCTGCTCTGTTGTTAATGCAGGAGCTGAGGGTCATCATCATCATCACCTTCAGGTGCAGTTGTGATTGCAGGGTTAGGGTGTAAAATAGTTAATGCAGAAGTAGATGGCTGTGGTTCATTATCTTCTGGCTGTTTCTTGGGGGTTGGCGTAAAAATGATTTCCAGTTTTTGCTGCTTTGCCCTTTTTCTTCTTTCATGAAGAAGCTGTTCAGAGGGTGCCAAATAAGATCTTATTCCACGAACTGCTACCCTGCTGCATTCTGCATTGTAATCGTTGTCCTCTAAGAGCTGCATTTGCTTTTCAATTTTCCTCAGGATAGAAGACAAAACAGAAGTGGTAAGCTCTTGTGGTGCCATATCCTGGAATTCATCTTCTTCATCTCCAGCTTCCATTTACTCCTCAGTGACAAGTTGTTGTAGATCAGCTGTAGAGAGGTCTTCACAGTGGGACTCAAGCAGCTCTTCAACATCCTTACTCTTTCAGCAGTAACATTGCATGTATTCAGGACAAAGCCCACAAAATGATCATGTGATGCCAGCATGGAGACTCTTTCAGTACTAACATTGCGCATGTTCAGGACAAAGCCTGCAAAACAATCATGTGATGTCAACGCATACTCCTCCATGCACCAACGGAATTGCGTTATAGCCAACTCAAGTTTGTGTTCTAGAAATAGCGTTCCCCTATTTGTCAGTCGCGTTATAGCAGAACTGACTGTACATACCTGTACCCCTAGGTCTCTCTGTTCTACGATACTACCCAAGGTGCTACTTTTAATTGTATAAGTCTTGCCTTTTTTTGTTTTACCAAAATGCAATACCTCACATTTATTCGAATTACACTCCATCTGCCATGCTTTAACTCATTGACCCAATTGATCAAGATCTCTTTGTAATCTTAGATAACCTTCTTCACTGTTCTTGAAACTTTAATTCTGCTTTCTCTCCACAGATACTGCTAAACCTACTGAGTTTCTCCACCAATTTCTGTTTTTGCTTGTTTCAGATCTCAAGCATCCTCATTTCTTTGTTTTACTTTATATCCCTGCTGTATTTTTCCCTCTTTCTGGAATTGTGGAATTGTGATTGCTACTTTTTAATCCATTCTAAAGTCTAAGAAATTTTGGAACGTGAAAACCAATGCATCCACTATCCCTTTAGCCATCTCTTTTAAAACTCTTGCACATAAACTAACAAATTAACAAGATTTAGGGACTTTTAGTTGACTGCTTTCTCCAATACTTTGTTTAAAATTAATATTAATTTCCTTATGTTTCTAATTCTGAAGATCCCTCTCTCCAGACCGCTTTTTGTGACTTATGTCATGAAAGCAGATTCAAATTATTTGTTTAATGTTATTTGTTAATTCCCCATTACAATTTCTTCATCCTGTAAAAGATTCACATTTACTTCCATGAATCACATCCTATTCATATATCAATGGAAGCTCTTGAAACCAGTTTTTATACCTTTGCTAATTTACTATGATATTCTATTTTGTCTCTATTAATCAATGTTTAATATTTCTTGATAAATTCAAAAATTCTATAAGTTAACTGGCTTTATGTAGTTTTTGGCAAAATGATAAGTTTCTTCCTCTAATCTAATAGCATGCTAACCAGAAAGAACACATTTAAGATAATGGGCAAACCAGAGGTGATAACTGGGATACCATTTTTAGAAAATGAATGGATGTGGAATATATTGATTCAGTAGTAGCTCATAAAGGGAATTGGATAAACACTGCAAGATTTAGGAAAATATTGGGGAGTGGGAGTAACTAGATTGCAGTTCAAAAAAAGAGGTGATGGGCTGAATACCCTGATTTTGTGATTTCAAACTTATATTTCTTCTCCTTCCCATATCTAAATCAGTTTGGACTATTTCTGCATTAAACATGACCCATAATTGTCATTGCATTCAAAAATGTTACATGATATCCTTTTATTACATACATAAGAAATCCTGCTCAAAAGAAATTTTCATTTTGTTCAAAACATACATTAATTTAAAAAAGAGAATTTGTATCTAGTCATGTTTAAATATGTTTACAGTTGAATTATTTTCAGCATCCATGTATAACATTTTGCTCTTTCTTTAAATTGACTTGTTTCTAATTGTGACTTTTGTGCTCAGGAAGTAAGGAATGTTGGTGTTTCTCACTTTGGACACCCTACACTAGATTTTAGCATAGGTTTTGGTGGCCTTGATGCTGGGACAAAAAGATCTCCCAAGCCCATGCTTGCTCTTTAAAGAAAAACTTCAAGGTTTGCCATCAAAGAAATTATCTAAATATAACCTCGGTTGTGTTTCAATAATGAAATTCAGCCCCACTCAGAGCAGCATAACCTGCTTTCACAATTATCCAA